AAAAACTCTCAGCAAAGTAGGAATAGAGGAATCATAACGTAACATAATAAAAGCCATATATGACAAACCTACAACCAACAGCATACTCAGTGGGCAAAAGCTAAAAACATTTCCCCTAAGTACAGGAACAAGACAAGGGTGTCCACTTTCACCACTCTTATTCAATACAGTACTGGAAGTCCTAGCCACAGAAATCAGACGAGAAGAAAAAAAGGCATCCAAACTGGAAAGGTGGGAATAAAATCATCATTATTTGCAGATGACATGATATTGTACACAGAAAACACTAAAGACTTCACCAAAAAACTACGAGATTTAGTAAAACTTCAGCAATGTAGCAGGATACAAAATTAACATCCAGAAATTGATGACATTTTTATACACCAATAATGAACTATGAGAAAGAGAAACTAAAAAAAAAAAAAAAAATCCCATTTTCCATTGCAACAACAAAAAAATAACATACTTAGCAATATACTTAATCAAGAGGGTAAAAGGCCTATACTCAGAAAACTATAGGATGTTGAAAAAGATACAGAGGAAGATATAAACCAGTGGAAGCATATACCATGTTCGTACTACTCAAAGCAATCTTTAGATTCAATGCAATCCCTATTAAAATACCAATGCATATTTCACAAATCTAGAATAAATATTCCAAAAATTTATATGGGACCAAAAAAGACCTCAAATAGTTGCAGCAATACTGAGAAAGAACAACAAAGTGGGAGGGATTACAATATGGGATATCAAGTTATACTAAAAAGTCACTATAATCATAGCCTGGTGATGGCACAAGAACAGGCACATAGATCAATGGAACAGAACAAAGAACCTAGAAATCAACCAAAGCCATTACGCTCAAATAATATTTGACTAAGGAGGAAAGATCATACAATGGAGTAGAGACAATCTCTTCAATAAATGGTGTTGGAAAAATTGGACAGGTGCATGCAAAAAAATGAAACTAGATCACCAACATACAGCATCCACAACAATAAACTCAAAGTTGATAAAAACCTTAAATGTAAGTTATGAAACCATTAGAAGAAAACATAAGCAGCAAAATCTCAGACATTTCTCATAGCAATGTGCTTGCTGATACATCTCCTAGGGCAAGAGAAACAAAAAAGAAAATAAATAAATGGGACTACATCAAACTAAAAAGCTTTTGCAGAGCAAAAGAAACCATCAATAAAATGAAAAGGGGGCCCACTGTATGGGTGAACGTGTTTGCCAATGATACATCTGATAAGGGGTTAATTTACAAAATATATAAGGAAGTCATACAACTTAACCAAAGGAAGACATAAAATCCAATTTAAAAATGGGCAAAGGATCTAAATAGACACTTCTCCAAAGTGGACATACAGATGGCCAAGAGACATATGAATAAATGCTTAAAGTCACTAATCATCAGACACATGCAGGTTAAAATGACAATAAGGTATCACCTCACACCTGTCAGAATGGCAACTATCAACAAATCAACAAATGACAAGGGCTGGAAAGGATGTGGAGAAAAGGTAGCCCTAGTACACTTCTGATGGAATGCAGATTAGTGCAGCCACTATAGAAAACAGGATGGAGTTTCCTCAAAGAATTAAAAATGGAACTGCCTATTGACCCGGTGATCCTACATCTACTAATATATCCTAAGGAGACTTAAACACCAATCAGAAAGAATATACACACCCCATGTTCATAGCAGCACAATTTACAATAGCTAAGATCTGGGTACAGAGTGCCCATCAGTAGATGAGTGTATAAAAAAGCAGTGGTACATTTACACCATGGAATACTAAGCAAGCTCTAAAAATGAAGGATATCTTACCATTTGAGACAGCATGGAGTTACCTGGAGAATATTATGTTAAGTGAAATAAGTCAGTCAGAGAAAGACAAGTATCACATGATCTCACTCATATGTGGAATCTAATGAACAAAATAAACTGATGAACAAAATAAATCCAGAGACATAGAAACATGGAACAGACTGATGAATATCAGAGGGAAGGTGGGGGTGGGAGGTAGAGATTAACCAAAGCACTTATATACATATATGCATAACCTATGGACACAGACAATAGTGTGGTGAAGACATGGTGGAGAAGGCACCTGGTTGAGGTGAACTGTGTCAATGGTGAGAGAAAGGGGACATCTGTAATACTTTCAACAATAAAGATTTTTTTTTTAATAGCAATGAAGTTAAATGATTTGACATATTTTTAAATGATCACATTGGCTGGTCTTATGGAGAAGTGGTAGGATGGCAGACTAGCAGGGAGCCCCAAATAGAAGACAGTGTAAAGTACAGTTGAGACCATGGGAGACCATCAAGGGCAGAAGTGGCTAGGGAAGTTGGGATTAGTGGAATGATGTTCAGCTTTGTTGTCTTAGGATGGGGCCATCTAGAGAGCATCTTACAGATCAAGAGGAATTAATCAGGGGAATGTCATGTTGCAAAAGATAGAGAGAGGAAGAGAGAACCAAAGAAGGGAAGAGGAGAGAATGAGGGCAGATAGGTAGTATTGTCCATCTGGTCACAGGAAGATGAGAGATACCCCCTGAAAGATTCTGTCTTGGTGAAATTTTAGTAAGACTGGGAGGGAGGTGAGAGCTTTGAGGAGCAAAGAAAAGGTGGCAAGTGGGAAGAGAGTGGGAAAGCAGGAGTGTGTTTTGAAATACTGTATAGAAAACAAAAGGCAAGCTCCTGCAGGAACCAATAATTCAGCATGAATGACAACAAAGCAATTTTAAGGTCCCACTCTGAGAGGAGCTTCAGAAAAAGTAGTTCTACTCTCAGAAAAAGAGGATTGCTCATTGCTCAGTCCAAAACCTGGGTTCTTTACCATTGGGATATCCTCTTGATGATACAAGGAGATGACCAGAGCTAGAAAAAGCAGCAGGTACTTGGGCACTTACCTTTAAGAGTTGCAAAAATGCCACTACAATAAAATCTCAAACTGTAATTTGATCACATTCTTACTAAAGTAGGCAGTGCCCTCAAGTGGGTAAAAAAGTAACACTTCTAAATATTTTTGTGATGAGTATGCCACTCAGCACTTGGAAGTCAGAAGAAATTTTGAAATGGTAATATAGAGTATTTCTATCCCTTACAGAAAGAAGTGATTGTCTTTTGAACCATTTAATATAATAGCTTAGAGGAAGAGTTTGGAGACAAATAATTTCATAACTCTACAAGAATGCACAAGAAACTGACATCAGAAAGGGAGTAGTGATGAAAGAGAAGAAGGGTGGAAGACTGTTACTTCTGCACTTTTTGTATCAACTGAAAAATATTTCCAGTGTCAAAGATCAAATATAAAAAGCCAAGAAGAAAAAAACTACAAAAGAGTGGACATTACATATTTTGTCCATTGTTTTTCCACGCACTGATTCTGCTTCATACTCTAATTTCTTTCTGCATAAACTTTTTATTAACAAAGACTGAATTTTTCCCACCCTTCATCAACACATTTTGAGTCAGTACCATATATTAATTAGTCTCCACAGATCTTGTTAAAACTAGAGGAAGACTGGTCCAGTTGGTATGGCTCAGTGGCTGAGTGTCAACCCATGAACCAAGAGGTCCTTGGTTCAATTTCCAGTCAGGGCATATACCCATGATTCCAGCTCAATCCCCAGGTGGGGGCATGCAGGAGGCAGCAAATCAATGACTCTCTCATCATTGATGTTTCTATCACTCTCTCCCTCTACCTTCCTCTCTCTCAAATCAATAAAACATATTTTTTTTAAAAGTTAGAAAAAATAACTACAAGAAAACTAGATTTCCAGTATCTGTTAAGGAAGTCATTTGATTTACTCTCAAATGCAGCTCCATGTTTTTTTCACTCCCAAGGTAAGTATTGCATTCCCACTTAGACACAGAGCAAACATCTTACAGAGACAACCCATTCACCAGGAGCTGTTACTTGTCCTAAAACTTTAAATACATATTAATTGACCATTTAATATTTGACAAAGGCAAGAGCATACAATGGAGCAAAGTTAGTTTCTTCAATAACTGATGCTGGGAAAACTGGACAGGTACATGCAAAAAACTGAAACTAGTTCACCAACATATTCAAACCACAAGAATAAATTCAAAATGGATAAAAGACTTAAATGTAAGTCTCTAAACCATAAAAATCCTGGAAGCAAACATAAGCAGTGAAGTCACAGACATCTCACACAATGGAATTTTCACCACTACATTTCCTAGAGCAAGAGAAACAGACAAAAAAATAAACAAATGGGACTGCATAAAACTAAAAAGCTTCTGCACAACAAAAGAAATCATCCTCAAAATACAAAGGAACCCCATGGTATGCGAGAACATATTTGCCAATGATACATCTGACAAGGGGCTGATTTCCAAAGTGTACAAAGAACACATACAACTCAACAAGAGGAAGAGAAACAATCCAATTAAAAAAATGGCAAAGGACCTTAATAAACAATTCTCCAAAGAGGATAGATGGCCAATGTTCTCTAGACCAAAGCTGGATGGACTCAGGCCTGACCGTGAGCTTCCCCAACTTGTTACATTTTTCTCCAGGTATAACCCTCTGAAAATGTAGATATGGTGTGACTGAGGAAATGACATCAATTAGAGTCTTAATATTTCTACACTCTAAATTCATCTACTCCTTCCACTCCATGTGGCATCTGTTTACTGCTACCCTGCTTTTCTACTGTGCAAGCAAGTGCTTCTTTAGAACTCCAGTGTGGATTCTCACTGATGAGAAAGAATTACAGAAACTAAAAAGAAAACAAAACAAAAACTGAATCTGTACAGAAATAAAAGTGAGTTCATACATTGTAATGAGCTCTGTATATTCTCAAGCCAAAAAAAGCACACATCCAGAAGAATGACAGAGTGTCCAAGCATGCTGGTAATAATGATGATACTGTTTTTGAAACATATGAAATGGTATTACTGGGTGACTGGGCTTTATTGTACCACTAACTTGAAAGATGAACGGAAGGGAAGTTTACCTCTTGTTCCAGCCACCCAGGAAAGTAAATGCCTTACAAGGCTGATTGTCCATTAGCCAGGGGGATATCCATGAATAATGAAGCCAGTCATTGGGCAGAACAAAAATTCTTCCTATGTAGATTTAGTTATCGAATCTAGAATAACAAGGAGATTTTTTACATGTTAGGGAGTCATTAAACACAGTGAAAGCCAAGAAGAGATGCACTTACAGAAGCACTGCCCAACAAGGGTAAGAAAAATATCAGGAAAAACATTCTCAATTTACAAACTAACTAAACTAAATTCTTTTTTATGTTTTAATTTATCTTGATTCAGGTCCTAGTGGAGAACCCCACTCCCACTGAGGCTGTTCCGTTTACCCCCAGGTAAAGTCTCCCTGAAAATCCTGAGCCAACCTTTTAAAAAGATGCCAGTGATCTAAGCCCTTGATACATTTACCGCCCCAAGAACACTTTCTGGCTGTGATTTATGATTGGTTTGATTGACCCTATTGAAACATAAATTAATTTCATGATCCTTCTCTGTTCAAAACCCTCCAATGATTTTATTCTAAGTAAAAGCCAAAGTTCTTTCAATGGCCTTCAAGGCCCTCACCACTATTCCTCAACCCTGGTAACACATTACGATGGCCCTTACTTGATCATCATCCACCCGTTACCTTCCTAGACTTCTCTTCCATCTGCTCTCCCTTTGCTCTCTCTACCTCTGCCAGTTGCCTCTTCTTTTTCCCTTGAACATGCCAGACATGCAACTACCTCTGGGCATTTCTGTTTCTTCAATAGGCTTCCTGCAGATAAGCAAATAAATGCTTCCCTCATCCTCTTCAGAACTTTACTCAAATGCCATCTCTATGAAGCCTTCCCTGACCACCTTACTTTAAATTGCAGCACCCACCTCCCACATTCCTATTAAACTTTTCTGTTTTATTTTTCCAGTGGACTATCATTAACATACCATATGACTTACTTTAAAAAATTATTAAGGTGAAATTCACATGACATGAAATCATCCACTTTAACGTGAACAATTCAGTGGCATTGGGGACAATCATAATGCTGTGCAACCACCACCTCTATCTAGTTCCAAACATTTCCACCTTTCCAAAATAAAACCTCTTTCTCATTAATCAGTTTTCCCTTATTTCCTGCTCCTGCCCTTCCTCAAACCCTGGCAACCACCAATATACATTCTATCTTTTATGGATTTACCTATTCTGGACATTTCATATAAATGGAATCACAGTATGTGACACTTTTGTATCTGGCTTCTTCACTTAGCCTAATGTTTTCCAGATTTATACTGAAACATGTATCAGCATTTTTTTCCATTTCATTGTTGACTAATATTTCATTGTATATATAGACAATTTATTCATTAATTCAACTGTTGATGAACATTTGGGTTTTTTCCACCTTCAGACTATTATGAATAGTGCTGCTATAAACATTTGTGTACAAGCATTTGTTTGAGTCCCTTACTCAGTTCTTTTAAATATGTGGAATTGCTGGGTAACATGGTAATTTTTTGTTTAACATTTTGAGAAACTACCAAACTGTTTTCCACAGCAGTTGAACCATTTTACATTCCCAACAGAAATATATGAGTTCCCATTTCTCCACACCTTCACCAACATTTCTTATCTTCCACTGTTTGTTTACTTGTTTATGATAGTCCCCCAAGTAGGTATAAAGTGGTGTCTCTGAAAGACTAATGGTGTTGAGCGTCTTTTCATATGCTTGTTGTCCATTTGTATATTTTCTTTGGAAAAATGTCTATTCCAGTTCTTTGTCTATTTTTGAATTACATTGTTTGTCTTTTTATGTTGCATTGCAAGAGTTCTTTATATATTCTAAATATATACAGTAAGCTATATGATTTGCAAATATTTCCCCCTTTCTGTTTGTTATCCTTTTTATAATTTATTTTTATTATTGAGAATATTACATATATCCCCATTTCCCTTCTCCTGCCCCTCTCCAACGGGCTCCCACCCCACCTCAAGACTTCACTGCACTATTGTCTATGTCCACAGGCTATGCATATATGCATATAAGTTCTTTGGTTAAGTTCATCACTTTCATGTTAATGACCTTTGATGCCCAAAAGTTATTCATTTTGATAACATCCAATTTATTTACTTTTTATTTTGTTACTCATACTTTCTGTGTCATATATAAAAATCCACTGCCAAATCCAAGGTCATGAAGATTTACCCCTATGTTTTCTACTGAGAGTTTTATGATTTTAGCATTTATACTTAGGCCATTGATCATTCTCAGTTAATTTTTGTATACAGTGTGAGGTAGGGGTTCAACTTCATTCTTTTGCTTGTGGCTATCCAGTTGTTGCAGCACCATTTGTTGAAGAGACAATTCTTTCCTCACTGAATGATCTTAATGCTTTTGCCAAAACTCAGTTGGCTGTACATGTTTGGGTTTATTTATTTCTGGACTTTCAATTCTATCCCATTGATCCCTATGTCTGTCCTTATGCCAGTAACTCACTGTTTTGATTACTGTAGCTTTGTGGTGAGTTTTAAAACTAGAAAGGGGGAGTCTTCCAAATTTGTTCTCCTTTTTCAAATTGTTTCATATTTTATTTTTATTGTTTATTATCTCCTTTTCCCCATCACAACATAAGCTTATTAGGACATGGATTTTTGTCCATTTTGTTCACCAGTACCCCAGCACATAGAACTGGTCCTGGCCATACATTGGGTGTTTAATATTTGCTAAATGAATGAATGGGCTCCTGAGAATATAGAGTCATCCACAGCTCAGAGGTAAGCGTGGGAGTGGAAGGAGAAGGGGCAAGGAGAGAAAGAGGATACCATAGTTGAGCAATTCTTATCAGAGAAAATTGAAATGGCAGGAAGGCGGTGTGGGTTAGGCCTTGCGCTCTAGTGCCAAGGAGTCTTTCAAAACCTTACTGGCAGGAGACACAAGCAGCAGTAGCCATCCTGGTGTGTGTCTGTCTTTAGTAATTCCAGTATACTAAAACTAAAAATCATTTAGTTACTATCACATTGAACATTTTATGTTTTTCAAAAATGAAACATAAGATGAAACAGAATGAATAACAATGAATTGTTTTCTTTGAACTGAGAGAGAAAATAGCTTTTGCATCTTATCTCAAAAGTCTCCAAAGCTTTTAGTATCTGTAAATAATCATTCTTGATTAAGTTAATGCAATTCTACAATCATATCAGAAAATATACCCTGCAATGCAAAAGTACCATAGTGACTTTTTAAAAAAAATCTGAACAAAATCTTAAATAAACACATTTATCACATGTATTCAAATTAAATCTCTGGGCAGTGACCTCAGCACGTCTGAATACTTTTGTTAGTAATGGGACAGAAGCCAGTGAAGAAAAAGCAGAACTAGAGTCCATGAGGTGCAGTTGAAGTGCAATTTCCTTTGATGCACATTACTTTCTTTTCAGTATAAAATTTTTTAAATGTAAATAGTTAAGGAAGCATGAAGAGCACCACTACTGTTGAGTATATTATGTACACTACAACTAAATAATTGTGTTTTTCTTGCATAATCATAAATACTGATGATATGAGATAATGGAATATATTGCCACTCCACAAATTAGAGACTGTTAACCAGAGGATGCATTATGCCTCTTATTTAACTTTTTCAAAATAAACAAGGTGTTGTCAATATGATTTGGCAAAGAGTCTGGTTTATTATGGGAGTTAAATATTCATTTCATCCTCTTACACTGATAATGATTTAAAACAATATGTGAAGTATATAAACTGTCACTAAAATTGCATTGCTCTGGGATTTCCAAGTGTTACTCACTCTACTCAAGCTTCAGGGAAAACATATAATTGTGCCAGGCAGTCATTTCAGGTTTAATTATGATTGGGGTATTTTATTCCTTGGACAGAAGTGAGCCTGGAGAAAACTTTGTCTCAATTTGGTCTTCAACTCAGCCACTAAAAGACCATGGGCAATTCACTACCTCAGTTGAAAAACCCTCTACAGGAAGCAAACTGCTATTCATCCTTCAAATCCAGCTCAGATATACAAGCCTCTGTGACCTACCCAGATAAAATTCCCTTCTCAGTCAGTACCTTGTACACATTACTATTTTCAGTTTGATTTGTAATTTATTTGTTCATGTCCTCTTTAAGGACAGTGACTCTTAGTCAACTATTTAGCTCTAATCTCTCACACAAGATAGGCATTTAATACATATTTATTATTATTTACTTTAAATGACCAAGTCACCTAGTGCTGGTGCCTGGGAAACAGTAGATGCTTAATAAATATTAATTATCAGAAACTTTCTTCATTTCTTTTACTCAAAATTTAATTTGTTTTCATCATTTTATCACCGTTCTGCTGATAGAGCTCAGCTCAGGCTCTTCTCTCCCTAGACCAATGGTTCTCAGTTTGGTAAGAGGGAGTGATTTTGCACCAGCCCCGACAGGTCACTTGGCAATGTCTAATGACATTTATGGTTGCCACAAATGGGCTGGAGAAAATGTGTGTCAATGGCATCTAGTGGGTAGAGGCCAAGGATGTTATTAAACATCCTATAGCACAGAGGAGAGCCCCATGACTAAAAAGTATCTTCTCACAATGCCAGTAGAGTCAAGGTTTAGAAACCCTGACCTAGATTTTAATTTCTTTAAACTGACTCCTGGTCATTCTGCTCTACTCCTACTCTTACTCTCCACTAATTTATTCTTCCTAAAAATATATTTTTTAATTGAGGTATAATAGACATATAACATTACATTAGTTTCAGGTGTACAACATAATGATTTAATATTTCCATATACTGGGAAATGATCACCACAATAAGTCTAGTTAACATTACCATACATTACATTTTTCTTGTGATGAAAACTTTTAAGATCTACTCTTGTAGCAACTTGCAAATATGAAGTAAAGTATTAGTAACTATAATTGCCATGTTGTATGGTACATCCTCATGATTTATTTTTTAACTAGAAGTTTGTATCTTTTGACCTCCCTTTCACCCATTTTGCCTACATGCCACCCCTCCCAACCACCAATCTGTTCTCTGTATCTATGAGCTTGAGTGTGGTTTTTTCCCCCAGATACCACATATAAATGATACTAAAAATCTTCATTGTCCTCCTATTCA